TCATGTTCCAATTCAACTCAGTTTTTCTCAACCAAACTATAAAAAGTGGAGCCGCTTGTTTCTCCTTCTTGCACGGCGGTTCAATCTCCATGGCTATCTCAATGGCTCTATTGCTCCCATCTCCGACGACGACGACGAATGGTTCCAACTTGATGCTATTCTTCAGGGATGGATTCTCTCCACCATCACAGATGAGGTGCCTGATCTTGTTCTCTCTTCTGTCTCTACTGCATCTGCCCTCTGGAAGATGATTCATGATTTGTTTCACGACAATAAGAACGCTCGAGCCATGCAACTCGAGCATCAATTTCGCACCACCGTCAAAGGATCTACACCTATGGCTGCATATTGTCAAGAGCTCAGGAATATTGCAGATTGGTTAGATGACGTTGATGCTCCTGTGTCTGAGCACCAACTAGTACTCCAGATGCTGCGCGGTCTGCCCGACGATTTACAAGCCCAAACGTCGTTTCTCCAATTTCAGGATCCTTTGCCGAATTTTCTTCAAGTGCGGTCGGCTCTTCTCCTTCTCGACCGACAGAGGACTCCACTGGAAACCAGCAGCACGACACTGCTGGCAGGTCGGGGCGCCGGCAGCTTCAGCGGCAACCAGCTCGGCGGCGGTGGCAGTCGCGGCCCTCCTCACGGCGGCAGTGGAGACCGGATCTTTGGCGTCAATTATGGCGATGGCTCCTCCTCTGGACAGCGTGGAGGCTATGGATGTGGACAAGGGCGTGGCAACGGCAATCGGGGTCGCGGTCGAGGGCGCTCAAACGGCGGTTCGAGACAACGACCACCTACAGACGCCCAACATTCCTGGAACTCACCCTACCCAAACCCTAGCCCCGGGGTGCTAGGCCCCCGGCCCAACCCCACCCCCTACCCGTTACCCTATCAAGCCCATGCCTACTATACACCTCCCCAACCCCCAGCCCTGCCCCCCTACCCGTCACCTCACCCCAGCCCTACGGCAGTTTCACCCCAACCCCAACCCGTAGCCTACCCCCCCTCCTACCCCCCCACACCCACAACCCTAGC